GATAGGGAACTATGTGTGTAACTTTTAAAAGAACCACCCAATTGTTTTCCAATGTGGTTTTACCAGTTTATATTTCTGCCAGCAGTGTATGAGAGTCCCAGTACTTCCACACCATCACCAATTTTTGATATATCAGCTTTTTCAACTTTAGTCAATATATATTTTATAATATTTTATATGCTTATAAAAATATTTTATAGAATATATATTTTATACATTTATTATATATTATTATAAACAGCTTATATAACAATATATATTATATAATATATATCATATAAATATAATATGTATGTTATATATTATACATGTTATATATATTAGTTAGTATGTTGGGTTGTCAGAAGTTATGATGCATTTTTGCACGGAAAACAGAAAAAATACATCATGACTTTCCTGACAGCCCAATATATTGATTATATAACAGTATCTCATTGTAGCTTTAGTTCACATTTCTCTAGTGACTGACAGGTTGACGTATTTTCTTGTACCTTATTTGCTACTAATGTATCTTCTTTGGTAAAAGAGCTTTTCAATCTTCAGCCCATTAAAATTTTTATTATTGAATTTTCAAAGTCTTTAAACTATAGTCTGTATACAAGTCCTTTATCAGATTCATGCAGGGTAACTTTTTTCCTAATCTGTGGTTAGTCATTCTCCTAACAGTGTCATAGTCAAGGTGTGTTATTCTTTTGTATATATTATTGGTGTGAATTGGTAAAATTTTGTAGAATTTTTTTATCTAGTTCCATAAAGAATATTGGTCAGAAGTTGCCTTTTCTTATAATATTATTGTGATACTATAATGCTAGCCTCATAGAATAAGTTAGAAGTAACCATCTTCTCAAATTCTCTGGATGGGTTGTTGCAAAATTGCCGCTATTTTGTCTTCAGATATTTGTAGAATTCAATAATGGAGCTATCTGACTCTGAAATTTTTTTTCATTTTTTTTTAATTTTTTACATCATTGTTCATTTTTAAACAATATTTGCTTCCCCCCACCCTGACTCTGGAATTTTCTTGTGAGAAAATTTTAAAATATAAACTCAATTTCTGTAATAGTTACAGGATTTTTTCAAGTTATCCTTTTTATTTTGATTGAGCTTTGGTAGTTCTATGTCTCTCAAGGAATTTGTCCATTTCTTTTAAGTTTTATAATGACAAGAGTTATGATATTCCCTTTATTTCCTTTAATAGCTATAGCATATAGTGATGTCACCTTACATTCTTGACATCTGTATCCTCTCTCAATTTTTTCCAGTCAATCTGACTAGAGACTTACCAATTTTATTGATAACATCAAACAACCACCTTTTGATTTCATTGATTTTCTTTCTTTTCTTTTGATTTTTGCTGTTATGTTTTCTTCCCTTATCACCATCTTCTTTTTCTACTTTCTTAAAGTGGAAGCTAACGTTAAGATATTTCTTACTTTTTAATGTAGGCAATCAGTGCTGTAACATTTTCCCTAAGTACTGTTTTAATGGCATCCCACAAACTTTGACATGTTGTTTTCATTTTTATTCAGTTCAACATATTTTTTTTCATTTCCCTTTTAACCCATGAGTTAAAGAAATTGCTGTTTTCCAATCATGTGGTGGTTTTTCCACAGATAATTTTGCTATTGCGATCTTCCTAACTTAGTTTCATTGTGGTCAAAGAATATTTTGTATGACTTGAATTCTTTTTTTCCCCAGTGTAGGTCCAATTTTATTAATGATGATAACATTTGGCCACTTGGTCACATCCATTACATAGCATCTTGCTTCAGTAGCAAGAATTTCTCAAAAGCTTGAGAAAACCCCCAATTTCTGAAACTTACCTTCTATTAAGATTTTCCTGAAGGTTTAAAAAGTCTCCATTTTCTCAAACTTCCTTTTGACTTGAATTATTTTAAATTATTGTGACTTATTTTACATCCCAGAATAATGTCAGTCCTCATAAGTGTTCCATGTGCACTTGAAAAGAATATATATTCTGCTATTGTTGAGTAACACAGATGTCAATTAGGATAATGCTAGCAACAGTATATACACATCTATGTCCTTTTCTGCCTACTTGATCTAACAATTATTAAGAGAGAGTATTGACATTTCTGACTATACTGGTAAATTTCTGTAAATGGTAATTTTGTCTTTGCAGTTCTCAGTCTTTGCTTCATGTGTGTATTTTTTAACTTTTTTTCCTCTTTAATATACTACAGGTTTTATTTATTTTTTATATTTTATTTTATATAATTCTTACATCATTTTTCATTTTTGCACAATGTATGCATTTTCATTTTGTTTATATTCCCCATACAATTGCACCCCACCTTATATTGACCCTAGTCCTTCCTCTCCCCATCCCTCCCCCCTGCCCCGGTAGTGTGTCTCTGGTTTATAGTTGCTTGTTGATTTTGATTTTTACTTTGTATTAATTAGTCTTTTTCCTGGTCCCTTATTTAGGTTTTCTAAATACCTGCTATGAGTGAGACCATCCGGTATTTTTCTTTTTCTTTCTGACTTATTTCGCTGAGCATGATCCCTTCTAGCTCCATCCATGTTGCTGCAAACTGCAAGTGTTTATCTTTTTTGATTGCTGAGTAATATTCCATTGTGTCTATGTACCACATCTTCTTGATCCAGTCATCTATTTTTGGGCATTTGGGTTGTTTCCATAGCTTAGCTATTGTAAATAGTGCTGCTATAAACATAGGGGTGCAGGTGCCCTTTGGAATTAATTTGGGTAAATACCTAGGAGTGGAATTGCTGGATCATATGGAAGCTCTATCTTTAGTAGATCAAGAAATCTCCACACAGCTCTCCAATAGTGGTTGGACCAGTTTGCACCCACCAGCAATGCAGGAGAGTTCCTTTTTCTCCACAACCTCGCCAACATTTGTTGTTGCTATTCAATGTTATCCCAATAAAAATTTCAACGACATTCTTCAAAGAAATAGAACAATTATTGATGAAATTCATATGGAATCACCAAAAACCCCAAATAACCAAAGCTCTTCATGTTATTTAAAGCTTTGTTATTGGATGCAAAAACGTTTAGGATTGTTATGCCCTCTTGATGTGCTAACCCATTTAAATTGTAAAATTACTTTCTATGTTTTTGGTAATATTCTTGACTCTAAAACCCATTTTATTTTAACATAGCTACTCTAATTTTAACTAGCCTTAGAATGGCATATTTTTTTCCATTCTTTACCTTAAATGTGTTTGTGTATTTGTATTGAAAGTACGTTTCGTGTAGGCAACATATAGATGGGTCTGGACACACATTTCTTCTGTGTGGTAAGTTGGGGTTGAAAGCCAAAAATGCAGATGAGGACAGATGCAAAAGGTGAACTCATACTTCGTTGCTTGAAGAAAAGTATTGCTAGTTACCCCGAGGGCTTTAATCCAAGTGTTGGTTGATTTTTGCTCCTTCGTATCTTAAGATAAACGAAACTTTATTGCTTAGCAGAATATGAGACTTATAAAATCTGTTCAAAATGAACACTTATATATCTAAGTTATGAGGATAGTATATTCATTTCCTGCACAATCTTTCTCTAAAGGCTAGTAAAATTAACTTTCAGAAAATGATGGCATTCGGGACACTACAGACATTCCGTCACACCCCGCCATCAGTAACAGTTCTCCCATGATTGATGGGGAGGAAGAGGAGGAAGATCAATAAAACAGCACCATAAATTTTAAAATATGTCAAATCCGCATTCCCTTCCACTTAACTAACTATATAAATAAATAAACACCTGGGTAAGACATGGGGAAAAGGCTGGAAAAAGATTTTGGCTAAGTCAGATACACACAGCAAACACACCAACCCATTTATGGCTTTCTAAAATAAACATTTATATGGTGATTTTAATGGCATTTTTACATAATGCTATATATACTTCCTATAACACAAGTCATCATTTTAAAGTGCACGTGTCAGTAGTTTGTAGTATATACACCACGTTGTGCAACTATCACCATTACCTAATTTCAGAATATTTCTATCCTCTCAAAAGAAACCCTGTACCTAGTAGCAATTAGTACCAATTTCCCCTTCCTGCAACCCTTAGCAACCACCAAATTACATTCTGTCTTTATAGCTTTGCCTACTTTGGTATATTTCTTATCAGTGGAATCACATACAAGGGGAACTTTTGTGCCTGTGTTCTTTTGTTTACAGTAATGTTTTCAAGCATATGGTGAATTTTATCATATTCATCAATCAAAGAGATTATACTTGATATTAAAGCCATTTGCTCAGAGTGGTGATAGATAGTGCAATAGTTAGAAGAGAGTCTATAATTTGGAAGATCCTAGAGTTCTAGCTTTGATTTCTTCCCATTTTGACTTTAGGAAATTAATAGACTATTAAATGAAATTATATCAAAGGTCTCTTTCTTTCATGCCTGTTACTTTCACTCCAGGAATCTCTAAGACACAAAGACACATACCACTTATCTTTGTGGTAAAATGTGATTGTCAAACGTAATTAGCTACATTTGAAACTTTCATTCCTAACTTGATTTGGAAGACAAGAAACTTGAGACAGCTACTGCGAACTTTTAGACCTGATCCTAAACCCAAAAAGTTTATAGCAGTGTCTACATCAGGAGAGAAATATAACAAAATGTAACTTAGCTAACAAAATCTTGGTTTATTTCCCTCTAATTCTGAAAAAGGATAATAATGTAATCAATGATTTTCTTTACAATTTCTTCCCTGATCAAAAACTCCACCCTTAATAAAACCACTAGAAATTTTCATAAATATGCCATAGACTTATACTTTGTTTTTTCTCTCATTCACTACAATATTTCTAGGATTGCAAACAATGACAAATGCAGGGTGGAAGGGGAGATAGGGGGCTGGGTGGATGGATAGAAGTCATATAATTAAATACTGATCTAAATAGTTATGATTAGAAATACTCATGTAATTTCTTCTTCATTCCTTCTTACAATGAATAGAATATAAAATGTCAGAAACTAAAAGAATAATGACACAGAACTCAAAATAAGCTTATTTTATTAATTTTGATACAACACTAGATACAGTACATTTAATATGCTGCTTTATTGCAAAAATTAATCAGCACCAGTTTGAAGTTTAAGTCATACAGAACCATATTGTTAATGAGAATATGTGCATGTTCTTTTGACTATATTAAAAATAAAAACAGAAATTTAAATAGATGTCACCTGGTCGTTGGAAGGAGATGGAATAATTATCATATGCTTTTTAAGTTAATGTTTAGCAAATATAAGCTGTGTGTTTGTTATAGACCAAAAATGAGAAAATTCTGAAATGCTACACACTATTCAACTGGGTTGATGCCTTTGGATAAAGTAGGCCTTTTCCTGAGCCAATAATCAACTCGGGGAATAACTAGGTAGTATTCAGGGCCTTCTCTCTGATGCTTTTCTTTCTAGCTGCCATTAGCCCCCATCTCTTCCTACTCAAACTTTCTCTCCTTTCTCCATTTCCTCACTTAATCCCCATTCTACCATTAGTCTGCTTCTTGCTGTTCCTAACAGAACCTGAAGTGTGGCGGTGACCAGTTAAGATAGAGAGCACCATGACAATCATTTACTTCTCCCCAAGTGAAAGATCATGACGAACAAAGGAAGGTAATGGTGAATACTGCCAACCACCCAAAACTTGCCTTACTTTTTATTTGTATCTTCTTTCAACGACTTGGATTTAACAACATGATTCATGATTTCACAATCTGGAATATTTAAAAATATGCTTCAAGCATTTCTAGTTACTATAAAAAGTCAAAGCATTCTCTTTGGGAAAACATTTGCAATTACACTTAAATATCATTGTCATTGCAGAAATGTCTAATAGTACCTACCATGCTGACCAACTGGGTTCTACAGAGTAGCCTCGGCTCTGGATTTCCATTTTATAAGTTAATATGGTTCTAGAGTTCTAGTGGAAAGGAATGGCCCTGCCCTCAAATTCTTCATTCCTTAAAGTTTTACTTTCCCTCCTAGGGTTTAACCCTTTAGGCAAACAACTTTTTTTCTTTCTCTGGCATTCCACTTTCCCCATTGCATTGCCAGTGGGTCAGAAGGGACTGGGGCTGGTGTGGAGTCAGGTTGTGTGTCTTTCATTATACACCCTACAGGAGACTACCTGTGACATCCAAGTAAGGAGCTTCCTGACTCCACAATGATGTTTACATTTAAATAAGAGATAGAATGTTGAAGTCTTGTTCTATTCTCTCACTGTAAATTTTCCACTAATCAAAACCTTGACAGATGAATAGAAATGAAACTATGCTGTCTACCCAGAAACTGACCCAAATTTCTTCAGCCTTTTTTAGTTTCATTCAAGATATCATTATAATGAAACCTGCACCAAAGAGAGAGTCGACTTGAAAACCCTGTTTTGATTCTGAAGCTACACTGGTCTCATACAGCAAGTTACATCTGGCACAACCATATTTTTCAGTGTTCATGAAAAACAGGATAATTCTGAGTGAATGTTTCAGAAATACATTTCTAATTACCTGCAGTTAAACCTTGATTTCAGAGGGGAGTTCTTGGAAGATGGCAACAAGCATCACAGCTATAAAAATGTTTAACTCAGCTGAGAACATAGATGACCACAACACAGTTACATTAAAGAATAAAGTTAACATGGTATTTCTACAAATATGAAAGATTCAGGGTAAAAAATCATATCAAAATCCTTTCTGAGAATATAGACATTCCAGGGTTCCTTTATATGCATAGTTTTTCTTTGCTTATCAACATACCTCATTTGGTTACTTCTAAGAAACAGTGTGTTTCTTCTACATATTAACCATCATTCACATAGAGACTGTATTTCAAATGTCCTTGAGAAATGCTAGTCAGTATTAGAAGTATAGATAGAGAATTTCATATTATTTCAAATTTCTCATGAATCTGAAGACCAGGGCAAGTCCATCCTTAGCTTCTGAAAGGAACAGTGCCAGCATTCTTAACAGAAAAGATCTAGTTTATGAATGGCAATGGGCAGACCCCTGAAATCAAATAGCCCCTGAATTCTTATATTGAATTAGAGTTTTGAAAATGAGCTCCCATCTGCAACATCTTCCATCTAAACCTGCATTTTCACCACAGAGAATTCTCCTTTTTATCCATAAGTTTCCTATCCCAGGTTTCACATTTAAAGGGTCTCCAAAGGGACAGAACAATCCTTTGCATTTAATGAACTGGTGGGGTTATTTTCACTCAGACTGAAGTAGTAGCAGCACCTGCAATACAGACTTCAGAATGAACTCACTAGAGGCATTATGGTGGAAAAAATAATCCAAGGACCATGAAATTGGTGCTGAAAGAGATGGAGTGGAATCAGGGTGGGTTCTTCTGAAATAAATCTTGTACCTTTTAATACTTCAGAAATTTATTTTGAAATGTTTTGAGATACAAAGCTTTTATCTTTCTAGAAGATATATTCATTTACCAATCTTCTTGGAACTATTCATCTATGTTCCTTTTTTTTCTAGGTAGAATCATTCATACACTATGATTTAAAAAAAAAAAGTACCAAGTCAGGCATGACACCTTGCTTTCTATTGAGCAATATGCACAAATCCTGTAAATAAATAGGTGAGAAATCCCAAGTGGGCACCCAGCTCTATTTAGAGTTTCCTGGAGCATATGTAATTATGAGGTTTGCCCTTTCTACAGTTCTTGGTTTGCCATTTTCCTTGTCTTTGAACCAAAACACAGTTCTTGCCAGGCTTTGACCGTTGAGGGGGCCCTCTCCTCCAGTTGGTGAAGGTGACAGGTTCACCACCAATCCATTGCCAGAGGCCAGCATGCACTTGGTCATTCAAACCTAATGTGAACCAAAAGAATGTGCCAAAGGATTTTATTACATTTATGCTCAGACATTTATCAGTCTGTTGTAACTACATATAGACTACAGTAACTACATGTAAACATGAATCTAGGATCTAAAACATGAAATAGGAACCAGGAGGCCTATAGGACACAATTAAGAGGACCTCCCTGGTGGCGCAAGGGGTTAAGATGCAACCTATGAAGCTATCTACAGCCACTGCAGCGTGAATTCGATCCCCAGCCAGGGAGCTACCCACATGATGCAGCAGACCTCTCCTGACTCGCCCTCTGCTCCCCTCAGCAGTGTATTTCAGTCAATCTGCCTGTTCTGTTACCCACTCTGTCTCGGGTGAATCTCCTCATCCCCACATCTCTGGCCTGTGCCCCAGTTTTTGTATGCACAAACTTTAAAAAAAAAAAAAAGACACAATTAAGAACTTAAGGCTGATCCAAATCCAAATCCTAGCTCTACCTGGCCAGTAAGTTACTTAACCACTGTGAGTTTTTGTTTCTTTGTCCAAGAAATGGGAATAAAAGTGAAACATCTGTTTTAAGGATGAAAAAAGATAATGGGTAGCATAAAGATGAAGCTCGTGCCATGTGTTCAATGAATGGCAGCTGTTATTATTCAGATTATCCTAAAGCAGAACTCTTATCACAGAGAAACAGATACACTCTTGTCTATTGTTCTTTCTTATTATCAGATGCCTTGGTTTTCATATTTGAAAGTAGCTTACTATGTGTTATTTTTAGTCTGAAGCTTAAGATCTTTTCAATCTGCTGCAATTTCAATAAAAAGCATTTTTTCTCTACTTGACTCTCTACTCCCATTGGCAATTTTTGTAAATCACATCTTACTGTTGTAAAGTTCTTGTAATTTTCCTTAAAGAAACAATTCTCTGCCTCACTTTTTTTCATAATAGAAATAAAAGGATTAAAATGAGAAAAGGATTTTCTTGAAATAGCATGATCTGACATCTGTGAAACCAAATTTTAGAGTGAAAACAGTTTTAGTTACATAGCATATTACCTTTTTTCAGCTGACTCTCAGTCAATATTTTTGGAGAGATTAAAATGAAGTGCTTTTGGTTAGGGTCAATCAATTTCCTTCTGGATTGTTTCCTTGAATTATTGATCAGGTGATGCTATGCTTAAGTACATTGTAAGGATAGAATCAGTCATGGTGGATGTATACAATATTATCCTCCAGCCTTTATGCGCTTAGATAATTTCTGAATTCAGACACTCACTGAGTACTACAGAAATTTTGAGAAGCCAAGACTGCGTTTATCATAGTTTCCTTAAATTCAATTATTATAGTTTCCTCAAATAAAATGCCTTCAAGAGGAGACAGTAAGAACACTAGGTTGAGGTCCCCTGAGAATTCTATCTTTAAATTAAATAGATTTGTATTGTGGTATTATTGAAAAGAAAGGTGTTATTGTTAAAATAGTAGAAAATATTAAAATTTCAGAAGAGAAACCAATTAAGATCACCTAGAATTCTTATGTGGAGGTTAAACATCTCATTCTTTAGCATATTTCTTTTATGTATCTATGTGAATGCATTGCGTAGGCTTTAAATATAGAATGTATATAAATTTGTATATAAATGTATATAAATTTTTTTTTAAATTACTTCAGCTTTCAAAAGACTACAGGCCCTCCCTTTTCACTTAATACCTTGCCAAAAATGCAATACTTTACATATTTTATTCATAGTATGCACCAAGTATATATTTATGCAATGAATTGATAAACATAAGGCACTTGATTCCATCTTTAATATTTAATTCCTTACTAAAGCACTAAATATTAAATATTTCTTCAGATGGTTATACTATATTTTATTTAACCATCTCCTTTTTATAAGCAATATCAAATTTTTTACTTTTAGAAACAGCATTTGTTGGATTCCTTTCCTATCTGTCTAACCACATCCTTTATAAATGTCTAAAAAAGATTATGTCAAAGTTGTCAGGCGAGCCTTAAAAATCAGACTATCTGGGGCCTCCCTAGTGGCGCAGCAGGTTGAGTGCAGCGCTGTGAAGCTGTCCAAGGCCTCTGCAGTGTGGGTTCAATTCCCTGCCAACCAGGGAGATACCCACATGGTGTAGCAGACCTCTCCTGCCTCGCCTGCTGCTCCCCTCAGCAGTGCTTTCAGTCTGTCTGCCTGTTCTGCTCCCTGCTCTGTCTCTGGTGAATATCTCACCCTTCTGTGCTTCTGGCCTGTACCCCAGTTCTTGTATAAATAAATAAATCTTAAAAAAAAATCAGATTCTCTGGCCATCTAACAATTGCTTGTTACTGTGAACCAAAATCATTTGGACCCTGGAAGGAAGATGTTCTCTGTGCATTCACACCTTCCTTCTCTGTGCAGCAATAGGACTTACCTATCCAAAAAGGCTTCCTTCCACTAATGTCCCAGAGCCATCGCATATGCCGCCTGGAGAGGACTGTCACAAGGCTGCCCAGGTGACTACATATAAACAGATGAAAATAAGTGTTCAGTGACCGGAGTTCAACATTTCTGCTGATATGTAATGCAAACAGGAAATCAAAACCAGTTTAACATAGAAAAAGGTACATATGTTGAAAGAACTGTCCAAGATTTTAATATTCTAGTTTTCTTTATATAATGAGTATCTACGGGGTAGAGGTAGGTGATGGGAAAGAAGTGATGGTTTATTACAGCATCTTGATTTTAAGCACAGATTCAACATGTTTTAAACATTGTTTGGAAAATTGGAAACTGCCTCCTTATGAAGATGAAATACTTAATGCCAAAATATTACCCTTTCACGGGAAGTTATTTCTAAATGGCACACATTTGGCAATTATCCAGTTAAGATGATCAGATAAAATTTGTTGAACTTGGTGTGTCAAAACATGTAAACAATTGTGACTCTTCATCACACCCAAGTGAAATGAGTATGGTTTCACTATTAAACCATCACACCTGTCCTTTCAAATGTAAATAAATATTATTTCCCAAACAGAATTATTTATGAACTATTTTTGCAGCTAGCTGAAATATTTCTATAGGCAATATTTGATTGCATCTAATTCCCTAACAAAGCTCATTAAAAGTTCTTTTACAGAATTCTTTCAATAAAAGCCAACAGATTGTCATTTCTTTCCCCCTTCTCCTCCTCTGTTTTTAATACAAAAAGTTTAAAATCAGAAACAAAATCACTATAATCTTCTTGCTTGGCTAGTATACATTAATAAGAAAAAGTTTAGACAACTGGTGAATTGAATTTTATTCATTTTGCCCAGGTCTTTCAAAAATTTAGATCCACTTCTCTGCTTTCCCAGATAACATATAGTGAACATAATTTATTTATATCAATGATTTTTTTCCTATTAATAGCTGTACTTTACTGTTCCATAACGCAGTGGTGACTTCAAGGCCTTCTGTGATATGTCACAAATGGCCCCAGGCTGATGGATTTGAGTTTGGGGACTGGGTTCTGACCTCATTATTTACTGTCAGCTCCTGTCTGACAGTTATAGCAGCTATGATAACACATTTTCTTCCCTCCTTCTCATATCCAAAATGGCAATTCTAATACACCAAGGAGTTAGAGGACAAATATCAAATGTTTATTAAATGTGAGGTAAGGAGGATTTCAGGGGCTGCCACAGCCAGTAATTTGACAGAGTATGGGAGATGGGTTTCACTTTCTACTCTGTGCTAATTCCCTTTGAGATGCAACTTTGCACCCTCAACTTCATCATCAGGAAGTAAAAGGTTTAATTCAAGGATATTTAATATCTCCTTCTTTTAAGATTATTGAAATTATCATAAAAATGACTTTTTTATCTACTCAAATACTAATTTGACGTCCTTTTTGACTCTCTAAGAAGCAAAGAAAAAAAAAAAAAAAAGACCCAAAAGAATGAAAGGAGAAAATAGCTGTGTTTAGAATGGGTAAAATGTTAGAGCACAATTATTTACAAAAGAAATATTTAGGCACTCGTAAGTTGATTATTTTACAAAAATATTTTTCCCTTTCTTGTATGTCACATACATATAAAATACAATGGACATTATTTATACACATATATGTCTATAAATATAAAAATAAAGTATAGAGATAGTAATCTTTGACAGCTTTGTAATTTTAAGACATCCAAAGTATTATATTAAAAGAAGGAACCTTATTTTTTTTTCTAGTTACAGAAATAGACATCTACCTCTTTGAAATGTTTTGATTAAGTATAGATATATTTTGGAGTGACTCTTTAAGGAAAGGCCAGCAGGGGTTCCAGACACTCCTATGGGAAAACAAAATGGTTTCATAGATAATGATCTATAATAGAATTACCAAATGTACAGTGATTGCCTAAGGAAATGAGCAGATGAGATTACAATATGTAAATTTAAGAAATACCTAATCTAGGAGTCTGGCTCCTCTAGGTTAAAAAAATAATAAAACACCAATGAGGAGGAAAGGAGATTGGAGATAAAGACTGAGCTGAGTTAGCAATCTGATTAGGGACAAGGGATAAGGTAAAATTTGCTGCTCTTGAAACAAGGTGCTATAAATGACCTCATAGAAGATGGTAAGGTAGCAAGTGAACCTGAGGAAACAGCTCAGAATTGACAACGAGACCAAATTAAAAATTAAACTAGATAAGTAGCAATTTGAATGACAGAATTCTGACAGAAATCTGATAGAATCTAAGACCATTTCCTAAAAAAATACTTCATGAGAAGGCAAATATCCAGGCTACAAAATGTTGAAACTGTGAATTTTACATCATAAGAGGAATTGATCATTCCCAAAACTATCTATTTTTCCAGCCCAAGGGGTTTAGATGAAGAGTATAAAATGAACCTGAAACATGAATGAATGAAAGGAAGCAGTGCAATCTTTAGGATGAATAAAAACATGTTGAATGTTATCAGAGCGTTTGGGATTCTAAGAAAAAATTACGCTGAGAAGATGCATGGCCACATTCCTCTGAGATTGATTGATTCAAAGGAAACTGGAGATATTATCATATTTTGTTAACCTCTTTTACATACTCTAGAATACCATCAGAAATGTTATTTGAATTCTGTTTTAATTTATTGACCAATTTGGTCAATAGATGTGAAATCTGAGTTTATATTACTGATAAATATATAGTCACTTCCTAAAATTTAATAGAAAAACTCTAGTTGTCTCTAAATCTCTTGTTCAAAAACCTTTCTCAGTTTTTTTTTTTAATTTTTAAATATATTTTTTTTTAATTTTCTAGAGGCATGTCTTATTTATTTATCTATTTGTTTGTTTGTTTGTTTGGTTTATACATGCACTGGGTACAGTCAGAAGCCGGGAGGGTGAGAGAATTCACCAGAGCCAGAGCAGGGAGCAGAACAGGCAGAAGGACCGAAGTACACTGCTGAGGGGAGCAGCGGGCGGCAGGAGAGGTCTGCGCGCCATGTGGGACCCTCCTCCGGTGGCCGGGGAGCAGCCGGGGATCGAACCGGCGCCGCAGAGGCCGCGGGCAGCTTTGCAACCCAGCGCTCAACCGCTGCGCCACCTGGGAGGCCCAACCTTTCTCAGTTTTATATGTAAAGGAAATCACAGTTCATTTAAAATGATTCCCTAAGTTATCAAAATAATTTAAAGAAATTTGTCTGAACCTTCTCATACTATCACATTTGATCTGTTAGACATGACCATACATTCCCTTGAATTAATGGGGAAGATGGAAAACTTAATCACTATTATAGTAGATTTTATAAGTTTCTTCTACAAGAGATCTTTGTATTTATATGATATCTAAGTACCATTTTTCTTCCTATATATTCAATCAATGAATATTGCTTGCAACTCATTATATTTAGGTCTAGAAATTTTTTAATTGGACCTATAGTATGATACCAACTCAGTGAGAGCTTAATTATGCAATTTAAATTCAGTGTACTTTACATTCTTGATAGAACTTTGTGAAAAGGGGCTATAGAAAGTAATAATCAGGTGTATAATAAACTCATGGATGTAAAATGTAGGTTTAGGAATTTACCATATAGGATAGCTGATCTGGAAAGTTAAGTATCAGCTCACTGATGAATGAGGAATGATTTAGTTATTGGGTTGTAGGGTCAGTAGTAGAGGAATAATACTTAAATGTGTAATATGGTCTAGACATTTCCGATACAAAAAATGCCAATATTTATTGAATGACTCTATAAACTCAAAACTTGATTTACCTTAGATTTGCCCTACATTTCCTTCCCAAACTTAGGATCCATAATTCAATAAAAATCTGAATATGTCTTTGCTATGAAAGACATAAAGGTATTAACATAATTGTGAAAACCTCTTTAGACTAACCCAACACAAAGTTAAAATAAGTCTGTTGTCAATACACTTTACATGTGGTATCTCCTGTACTTATGGAATTATTTGGGGGAATAAAATTTAACAAATAAGTCCCGTCTCTCCCATTTACTTGTTTGTATGACCGCAACAAGCGAGTTGCTTCCCAAAATCTCTTTATCTATAAAATGTAGCTATTAATACCCACTTCCCTCACAGAAATGATGGGAGGATCAAATAAGCCAATCATTTGAAATAATTCTGTAAACTGTAAAGTGTAATATAAAAGTAAGGTGCTAATACAAGGGGGCACATAGAATGAAGTCAGGCAGTATAAAGTGTCATGGTGTGAAGGTGCTTAAAACCTAGTTGCAGATGAAGTCAGATTAAATGCATGACAAAGTAGCCAGGCTTTCAAATTAATTTAGACTTTTGCTCAGAGGACAAAGGTTTAAAATACTTTGCTTAACTATTGTCTTATTTTCATGCAACTTTATTTGAACCTGACATTTGGGAAAGCTGGAGGATGAGGCCAGAGTTGCGTTTACTTGTGGCCAACAGTCTGTCCACCGCCACTGTGCCGTTTGCTGGGAGAAGTAACTCCGTTATCTCCCCATGGGAGGAGATGGGGGCAGAGCCACACATTAGCCTCACACCCTCCCAGGGAGCTGGTTGCCAAAGCAAAGCTATTGGTTCCATTCTGGTCCCCTGGAGCTACTGGCCTGATCACACAGTCAGAAGCCTCATCACACAGTCAGAGGACCACTGGACAGAGGAAGAAACTGAAGGTCTGAGAGGGAAAGCTGTTTCCCTGTGTCTGGCTGAAATTTCGTTAAAGACCCTTTTTCAAAGGACTTCACTCATTTTGCCCTCAGAAATCTGAGAACAAAAACATTAATTTCTATCCCAGGAAAGGTGTTGCAATAGTTAAAATAATACTCTCAGTATCTTTTATCTGACTTAAAATTGAGACCTAACCAATGTTTAGCAATCCACCTCAATGTACATTCTCAAAATCAGTCTTCAAGAATGAGCAATATATACATCATATATGAAATATCACATGTCTTAGAGAATTTGGGACCTTTCTGGATCATGATCATGTTTATTTAAATTCTCTGGGGAGGACCTGTGGTGTTAATTTTAGATTTTGCACCCAAGTGCCCAGGACAATGCCAGGCACATGGTGGACCCTCAATAAATATTATTAAAGCAATTAATTAATTGGTTTCAGCCTTAAGTTTACCATTGGAATAAGTAAACTGTACAATATTAACACATATAAGAAGAATCCCTTTTTAACTAAGTTTGCTACTCTTTTGTATTCAGCATCAAAACCCAGCTGCAAATAAATGGACAGATGAAATAAAATTAAAAGATAAAATAAAATTAAAAGATAAAATAATAAAATACTGGGGGACTCAGAGAGAGTAGCCAACATGAAGCATCAGTGACATTATTCTAAGTTGCTATAATTTTGTAAGAGACCATTCTGACACCAAAAAGCTATCAGATCATAATCTCTGAATAAAGAAGTGTCCTGACAAAAGACACTTGCTTATTTCAGAATAACATCAGGAATGGATGGAAAGCTATCACTCAAAAAACATGGAACAACCAGTAAAAGCATCATTACAAGAGAGTAAATGTTACTTGTACTCTTGTTTGGGATTTACTGTAAGATGAATGAGGCTGCTTCCAAACTTGGGGTTTGGGCATTCTGTTCCTCTGTTAACTTATATTTTACCCAAAAATCCCAGCAGCAATCTGATCTTAATAACCTTGGTAAGAGCACAACTGCACTTGTGTACTTGTACTCATTTGTGTTAGTAGAGAAGCCATATCTTCCCTTGGGTAGCTTGTTGCAATCTTCATTTAGCTCAGTGAACTTTTGATTCCATATAAAAGTTCTTTTCTTAAGGAAGACAAAAGATCTATACCACTATCCCTGAGTTTTCAGTGCATTGAGACAAACGTTAAATAACGGTGGGACATCTGGTTATTTTAGTGGAAGGATATATTAATTGTCCTTAACATATAGCATATGGGGATATATGTATTTAAGCAATGGTTATTTGTAAGATTAAAAATATAGTTTAACTTATTTTAGATCACCAACTCACCAACAAAAACCTGTAAGTCATGACTAATTTCTATGTTGACCCCTACTTACAGTTAAGTCATGAAATACATCAGGGAAGAAGAGGGTGGTGGTTAATTTTATCAATTTTTAAATATACCTTTAAAATATTCTATTAGTATTTTTTAAAAAACTTATGTGTAACTTATAGACAATAAATGCATAAAGTTTTAAGTACTTAATTCTATCATTTTTAATAATTGCATATATCCATGTAATGACTCCCTGGAGGTAGACATAGAACAGCTCCATCATTCTGCATCCTACCTCATGTTACTTCCCAATCACCTCCTAATCATTGCCAGACAAAACAGTTTTTATTCTGATACCAACTAATCAGATTCTCCTAGTCACATAAATGAAAGCATACAGTATGTACTCTTTTTAGTTGTGTTGCTTCATCTCTACATAATGTGTTCAAGATTCATCCACACAGTTGGAAGTTTCAGTAGCTCATTTAGTTTTATTGTTTATAAAAGAATTTATCAAAAAAAGAAAAAAAATTCATCTATTCCCCTGGTGATAGAGAAAATATAAGGAACTCCTATACACCAATAACAAAAATACAAATGATCCAACTACTGTGGATATAAACAAGTTGCTATGAAATTCTGTAAATATGATTTTTTGAGAATTTTTTTTCTGTTGGACAAATACCTAGGAGTAGAATTACAAGGTAGATATATGTAATTGAAACTAGATATATGTAATTGAAACTAGAGGGTAGATATATGTAATTTTATAAAATAAGTGCCAGACAGTTCTACAAAGCGGTTGCATCATTGTATACTTCCACGAACAATATGTAGTATTGTCACTGCTGTGATTTTAACTATTCTAGTGGGTATGAAGTAGTATTTCATTATAGTTTTAATTTTCATTTCCCTGGGGTTTAATAATAACAAATAACTTTTCATGTAATTATTGACCAATTGTCTGTCCTTCCTTATGAAATTTCCAAGTCACTTGCTATATACTTATTGCATTGTCATTTTGTTATTGATCTGTAGGAGCTTGTATTTCCTGGTTTTGAGACACTTATCAAATACATGATTTGAGATTACCTTTTCCTTACTATCGGTGGCCATTTCATTTTCTTAATCGTGCTTTTAGATGAGCAAAACTTTTCTGAATTAGATGAAGTACAATCAGAAGGGATTTTCTAGTTTCAATTTCCTGCCATGGGTATATTAGTCTATTACATTGTTTTGGATAATATTCAGGTAAACAAAGAGGAAGTTCAGGGATACATACAAATGCATTTTAAAATCAATCTGGACTAGACAAATTTTGTCATTACTTAACCATAAGTCATCCTTCATGGAGTGTTCTGACCCTTTGTCTAACTTGCCTGCTAATGTAATCATCAATGCCTCTTACATCATCATAGGCCTGAAGCTATTAGACCTTTCATTGCTCTCTATTTTCAAATTAGTGGGTAGGAATGCCTATTCATTAAAAAAAAAAAAAAATTGTGAGCCTCTCCGGTGGCACAGCAGGTTGAGTGCAGCACTGTGAAGCTGTCCACAGCAGGTTCGATTCCCGGCTGGCCAGGGAGAAACCCACATGGCAAGGCAGACCTCCCCTGTCTTGCCCACTGCTCCCCTCAGCAATGCTTTTGGTCCTTCTGCCTGTTCTTCCTGCTGTTTCTGGTGAATCTGCTCACCCTCCTCTGCCTCTGGCCTGTACCCCAGCTCTTATATAAATAAATAAAACTTAAAAAAAAATTCTTTAAAAAAAAATAGTGCTGCTGACTCAGAAAAGCTTTCTGACTTTCTCCAAAAGATTGAAATAGATAAGCTAAAAGAAAATAGAATTGTGGCAAAAGCACAATTTTAACATAAAAGAAGAGCTAAGTCAAAATAAATTATCAATGTCACAAGCCAAATCCCATTCAGAGCTACAGAATTCCCTCCTGGCTCCTAAAACAAAGGTAGGTATTAGACAACCAACATTTGAATGAATGAAACACCCTACAGTTCCACTAGAAAACAGAGAAACAGTAGGGAAAAAAAAGCATTATTAAACATGAAATAGGATTTCTTACTTTTCCCTGCAAGCTCGGGCAGCTATGTCCCAGGTGCCTTTCTGCTCTGTGATCAAGGTGTGGCAGTATCCAGAATGATGGTGCCACCCAGCTGGGCAGGATTTGTCTTCCACCTCCTGAAAAATAATTGTCCCATAGTCACATCATAATGGTTTTCTACAATCCAGAGTCTGGTCTCAGCATAGAGAGTCTTGTGTGTTCTCTTACTTCAACAGAGTGATTTTTTTCCACCAGGAAGGAGATCAACCACTCAATTTTCTTTTTTAAGATTTATTTTACTTATGCATCCAAGAAGTGGAGTATAGGCCAGCGATGTGGTGGGGGTGATGAGAGGATTCAGAGACAGAGTGGGAAGCAGAACAGGCAGATTGACTGAAATACACTGCTGAGGGGAGCGGTGGGTGAGACAGGAGAGCAGTCTGTCAGGAGCAATGGGTGAGACAGGGAGGCTGTGCCATATGGGTTAGTTCCCTGGTTGGGGATCAAACTCATGCAGCAGTGATGCTGCAGTGACTGCTGATAGCTTCATTGTGCAGAGATTTAATCCCTTATGCCACCAGGGAGGCCCCCTAAACTCAATTTTCTACCTTGAAAAATGCAATGGCTTCTTACAGAAAAAACTAGTAAAATCAGCGAAGCTTCGATTTTATGCCTTTGATGAGATGAGTAAACATCTTAACCCATATTGATTTAACAGATACTTGTTAAATCACTAGCATTTTTCCCTCTGTGCCTTCAAAGTGTATCAAGAGGAGACAGATGTAGCGAGAGGTGATCCATCCTTCTCCATTTGCTTTTCATAAGGCACATTGCAACATTGCAAGTAATGGTACTTGGCACCTTGGTTTGGGGACTCCAAGCTTTCCACACAATCCCGTTGCACTGATACAGCTTTTGGAAGCTTTCTTCAAAATGGAAGAGTCCCTTGAGTTCTAGTGTGCAGTTCTTTGGAAATGATGGCAACCAGTCCTATGGGAAGGAAGGGCAATTTAGACATGACTTAATGTCAAGTTGATCACACACTTATCTCCTTTTGGGTCTTTATTTGTTGGGTAGCATTTGAATTGAGTAAAGTGTCCTCAAGCTTGAAGGCTGTTTTATGGCTCAGCAAACAGCCCTTGTAAGGTGAATAAGAACTAAAAAGATTTTCATACCTGTCTGGGGAAGTGTGAATCAGTTGTGGATTCCATCTTATCTGCTTGAGGCAGTTCTGCCACTTTGAATGTCCTTTGTGGCTGACTAATAATGGATACTTTGGCCTTCCTTTTGCGAGTTAGGGAAATGTCATCTTCCAGTTTCAGGGACACCATTCCATGATACTTGAGGAAATCAACAAATGACAATAAAGAAAAAACAAATACCAAGATAACAAAAAAACTCACTATAATGAGTAATTTAAAAATTAGATCAAAGCAAATAGATGAGAGGTTTTTTCCCTCCCCATCCAAGCATCTAAAACAAATTTCAAAACAAGTTGTTCGAGAAATATGTAATTGTAAAAGGTAGAAAATAAACTTCGCCTAAATATTTCACATCCATAAGTACAAAAACCAAAGCAATTCTCTGTGTATGCTTACATTATAAATGATGTCTGTTCCATTTCTGTAAACAGAGGATGGATGAACCTGAAATCAACCGAGAACAAAATATGAACAAAATTGGCTAGAATAACAATCAGCAATAGGCTAAAACCCTTCCAGTGAGATCTTGTTAATGTCTACAGATTTTTAAAACATATGTTGCTGAAGATTTTCTTTTCTCAAATCACTGAAATTTTAAAAATCACCAGGCCTAGTCACAACTTTTCAATGGTGATTCATACATTCATAGTCGCAGTGACGGAGAAAAGACACCGTCTTTTGTTGGTACATGTTTAGTACACAGACACAAAACACACACACACTCATGTGGGTGTCTGTTTAGGATGCTGTGTTAATAAAGCCAAAAAAATGGTTTCCACATCCAAGATCACTTAACCTCCTTCTATTTCAGGGTCTCTGTTCCTTCCCTATCTGTCTTGATCACAGAAGGAACAAAGCAGAAATCATATCCATGAGTCAATATATCCATCACCTCAATTAGTCCAATTAATGGGATGGAGCAGCATTATGATACTGGTATATAAAAGTCACTGCATGTTTGTGTGAGCAACCAGGACCCTCACTTACTATGAAGATCAAAACAGCTTCATCAGTGTTCAAAATACTTATTAAATATCTTGCTATTCTTAAATAAGCGATCCATACATCAAATCCCAAAAGGTCCCCATCCTTACTGTTTCGCCATTCCCTTGGGTCCTAAGCCTCTTTCCAGAAAGATCTGCGGACTCAAAGCCCTGAAGGGCATCTCCCTTGATAACAGCTAGCTGCTTGGAAGGAGGAAGGGGTCTTCTTTGCAGATGAAAGGAACCAGAAGTGGTGGGTGAAGAAGACCCTGGGGACAGCGGGTGCCAAATGTCCTTCTTGTGCTTGTTTGGGCTGAATGAATATGAAGGATGGCACTGTCCTGGAGGCATGCAAGACAGCAGGTCAGTTCATTTTACACAAACAGATAAGTGATCACATCGAAACAGCCCCTGGAGCAGCTTGTCATTAAACTTAGATGGATGTTCTTCCCACCAGATGTTGCCTTTTTGCCATTTGCCAGAAACTCCTCTACTCTTCATCAGTTTCCATCCAGGAAATCTGTGCCCTTCTGCACATCCACAGGGTGATTATTAAGTCATGAAATTGATTTCATGAACCACAAGTGAAAATCATTGTCATAATTTTATAATTATACCCCATACTTGGAAAACAACCTTACTTTTCTTCATATAGTACTCAACAGAAAGATGTATCACTGACCAAGTATCATCCCGCAAACACTTCAAAGAATTCATCCTTTCCACATTCTCCTAGAGGCAGATAGTGGAATTGTTTAAAGACGTCAGTGAAATCAAGTATCAGTTACAGAATTTAGCATGATGGAACAAAGATCCAGTAAATTTGAATGGAGCTAATCCTACTAGAAAACTCATCAGTTTCTGAGAAGGCCTGAAAACAATCCAAACCCAGAACTCTCCCTGGGAATCTTATAATTAATGAATAAAGTGTGTGCTTCATGTATTTTAGGTACTTAATTGTACTTAATGTGAAAATTATACTGAAGAAATGAATTTGGTGGGGAAAGGGGTAGGGAGAGATGTTGGGGAAACATGAGCATCATAAAGGACAAAGAATGGAGTCTGATTTTACTGTCGATAAGAAACCAATGAGGAGATAATAGATTTCAGGTGGGGAAATCACTCGGCCCAAAGCCTCGGCAAGTGTAAAATTGGGGCTGGTAAGACTGAGCACAGTAACAGACCTGCCGAATGCTAAATAGACAAATAAGTAGAAGGCATTTGGCAGGAAAAAAATAATCAGAGCACCAAGGACTTTGGCTGGTCTTTATTTTATTTAGTTCACAGGTTGTTCTATAGCACATACTATCAGGACCTATTTGGCTCTGCAACCCAAGGTTATTCATTAATATTCTCCAGCTGCTCCTGAATCCCCAAGCCAGCTGCATCTATTTTTCTCCAATTCCTTCCTCTTAGAATTTTCCTGGTCACACTACAGTGGGGGCTCAGATTTTAGGCATTAAAAGCTCTCTTTAACAGAGGAAGATAATTACAGCCCTACAAACTCTGGGGGAAAATAATTGTCGATAGATTCTCACCAACATTGTTTCCCCCTTGGTGAGAACAACAAACGGGGAGGAAAAAAAAAAAAAAACAACTACAACACTGACTTGTTGCTTTTCTCAAACGATAGTTCTTAGCAGGAGGAAAACCACATGAAGCAGAAACCAGAATAAAGAGCCTACATCGTGGCTGTGGTTGCTTTCTTGATAAGAAATTAAGCATTTTGATTTGAAGGCGCTATCAAGCACGTTGGCTGTTGAAAGCAAGCAGCTACAGCGCCAGGACTGCTCCTGATTTCAAGATGAGGATCAAAAGAATACCTCCTTTTGAGTCCAAAATTTTCACTGCAGCTTTTGTCTTTGTGCCAAGAACCGCATTCACAGGGGAGTTCAGAATTACTTCAAAGACCTCATCATCTTCCTCTAATCCGTCATAGGTAATTGCTATATTCCACATCTTAGTTGACATTCCTACAAGAAGTAAACATTTTAATTACTCTTTAATTGCTATTTCAATCACCTAGGTGTCAGAGAAATATATTAATTAACATGTCTACAGCTAGTCGGTAGTAGCCTGAGTGAGCTATTGTACTACTACCAGCTCACTGAAGTCGTGCTGTTCTCCCAAATAATATTAAAAGACCACAATTTGTTCCTGGACAATGATGATTCCGTTTAAATGCAAACACTGTAACAAAAAAGTAAGCTGCATTATGTAAGGGATGAACAAAAAAAGAAATGGTTAGTAGGTGAGACCCAAGCTTTCATTTTTTTCCTAACCTGCCTCTTCTCCCCTTAAAAATAAACAAGTACTGCAATCTGAAAATCTTAAGTTTCAAAATCTTAAGATGTTGATGCAGACAGAAGTGATTATTGGATGGCACTTCATGCTATTCATAGAACCCTTGAAATGATTGATTTCTACAGACAGCTGCCTCCATCGGCTGCCCAGCTTCCTGAGCCCCTTATAACCCCAAAATGCTTTTTATGATGATGTAATACTCAGTAGCTTGATCTCCTAGAATTTATGGGTTGGGGGTTCTAGAAGTAGTCTGAGCGAATTTTTATTCTGTCTGCCTCTATTCAAGGAGTTATAAACAATTTTGGTTCACAGTAGCTTTGCGAACTTAATTCAAGCCAGTTTGGATGCTACAAGTACAGCCCCTGCAATCCTGTCACCACTAAGATGGGTTAAAAACAACCTCCAAAGAACTAAATCTGAAAGCTGAAAGAAACTTTGAAGACTGTCTAACCCTAGCCAGTTCCTGATGTGAATTACTAGAACTCTCCCTGAGTTTATTTAGGAAAGTGGCAACACAAAGAAATGAAAATATTATTTGTTGGGGGAAAAGAGATTTGAGTTTAAGAAAAAGGGGAGGAAGATAAATAAAATTATACATTAGCCTGTTACGGCAGTTTTGAAACCTTTACTATTGACTATGTGAGGCTTTTATTCCCATAAATTCCTCTATATAAGCTGTAAAATAATTTTTCTAGCCTTATCTTCTGAAAAAGCTGGGTTCTTTTTATCATGAAGATTGTTTTCTATAGATTTATTTCAATTTAGCTATGATTTAATCAAAGTCTCATCATTCAAACAGAATCTTATGAAAGGACACACTTTTCCTATTCTTGGCTGCACCTTGAGAGAAAAAGTTGCATGTATTTGGAATCATTGTAATTAAAAAAAAGTTGACGGCTAATCCAAGTTTTCAGTAGCAACTGAATTCTTAAATCAATTACCTTAGCAGTCTTTGCAAAACAGAAATTGAAGCATCTAACAGAAAACACTGTATGGCTCCCAGCTCATGGATGTAATAATCAATCCATACATATTTATTTTTTGGGCCTGTGAAGTACTTACCTTTGTTTTAATTACTATGGAGAATACTAGAAGTATAACATTAGCCAGACTCTAATATAAGAGAGTTTAAAACTTCTTTGAAGAGATAAGATATAAATACAAGAAAAGTTAAGGATTCAAGCTACGTGTCACTGGCTGCAAGAAAACTACAGAATAGATAGTAAATACTATACATAGGTGGGATCAAAGTTGGGAGAATTTGGAGAGAGGAAATGGAAAAACAACATTAGCAACAGCAGCTTTCAGCCAGACTGTGAGAGCCCTGGCATCCAGGTGACCAGGTTCAGACTTGAAACCACAGGCAAGGGGGAAGGCTCTTGAAAAGGAAAGTTTTAGAAAAAATGAAACAGTTTCATGTGTGCAGATTTAGTGGCCCAGGCAGATAAGCAGAGGGAGACCACATAGGCAGCTGAGATAAGAGGTTGAACAATAAAGAAAGCATATGAGTACTTAGATTTTTTTTTGAATATTCAGTGTTGTTTCTCAAAGTCCCAAAGTTAAGCCTTATTCCAGTAAAAACCAACAGAAAAAAATATTTCCAACTTCCAACTACCCTCTCAAGAATCATTTAAAAAAATTATTTTACCTCCATTCCCCGCCCCCCACTAAATCTCCAGCCCCCTCCCCACCAAAAACAAAGCTTTTGTAAGACCTTATGGAATTGAACCAGATGTTTAGGGAAAATCTACTCCAGGTTTCATTTTACTGCCTTTGATTTGCTTGCCTGCATTTCAACTTTGTCTCTAGGTGTGTACATAGCATCAACATTTTTAGGTTAATGAGATTGGAAATAAGAACTTTCTTGGTGTGTCTTTTTCCTTCCCTCTTCCAAAATGCAAAATATTTGTTACTGAATTTATATGCAATTTCAGAAGCCTTGAACTGGCCTCCAGTTCCCACAAAATAAAAAGTGCTGAAGAAAGGAAAGAAGGTGTCATTTTATGCAGACATACCCCACTTTTCAGAGTAGGTCAATTCCTGGATATTTCCCTGCCAAGCAGATTTCCCTATTGAGAGGTATTTTCTCAATGTATTTTAGTTAATGCTACATTAGAGAGTTATCCTTTTGAAAAACATTTTGACGCCTAATGATGAAGTCTCAATTAAGAAGGTAGCAAACCTTTCAAGAATACATATTTTAAAGGAAAATAATTATTTTCTTAAGAATAGTTACACTTTGACTCACGATTACTTACAATAGCTGAATGCAGAGTAGTCAGGATGATTTTCTGGTCTGTTACACAGCTCACTTGAGTAGATAGCTCACTAGACTGAAAAGTCATTGTTTCTCCCCAGCGCCCTCTCTATAGTTCTCAGATCTTACAATATCCCCATAACGTCTTTGATTATTCACTATTTCCTTAATAATCATGAAAGCTGCAGTTTTTAAAAAAAATGAACAGATTGTTTTGGCCAAAGGGTGTCGGCTGGGAATGGGAACACCATGCCCAAAATAGGAAAGGATTAACATGTGAGTAAATAAATACAGAAACTCTAGATATGGGGAACTTTAAAATTCTCAAAATAAGACTTCAGTTTAGGGGCCTCCCTGGTGGCGAGGGCTTGAAGACAGCACTGTCAAGCTGTCACCAGCCACTGTAGCACAGAGTTCAATCTCTGGCCAGCCAGGGAGCAACCCACATGGTGCAGCAGACCTCTCCTGCCTCACCTGTTGCTCCCCTCAGCAGTGTGTTTGGGTGGATCTGCCTGTTCTGCTCCCTCCTCTTTCTGCTAAACCCTCTCATCCCCTGCTCCTTTGGCTTACACCCCAGTTCTTCTATGCATGGATAGGTAAATCTTAAAAAAAAAAAAAAGACTTCAATTTAGGAAAGTAGTTCTGGTTGGTAAGTTTCAAGACAACAAATAGCCAGCCAGGTGTTGTAACTTCAATTTATGTGTTCATAATAGTTCTTAAAATCTCTAAAGAATATCTAAAATCTTAAGACCATTTAGATCCCCTAGATGTCATTTGTGTCTACCCAAACACCTTATTAAAATCTTCTAGACAAATGGATATTTATCTTATCCAGTGGAAATTGCAGGACGAAGATTTCAGACTCCTCTGCTGGTCTACATTCCACTTCCAATCAATGCAAACAGGGGCTGCTCAAATCTACTGAAAATTAAATCGGATCTTGTCACAAACAGGTATCAAATGATAAAGATGACATATGATAAAGACTCTTGACTCTTGAAAAGAGGAAAGGTTGAAATTGCTTTAACATGAAGGCAAAGGGGCATAGTACAAACTGCACCAAATCTTTCCATTAGAGGGTTGACCAAAACACTAGCACCTGCAGCCACCAGAGGGTAAACATCAGCTACACGACCAGATAGCTCTGCCCAAGAATGTCTTCAACCTGAGTAACACACTCATGTAAGTGAGAATGGAAATATCACAGGAAGGAGGCCAAGACCCAAGTTTGGACTGTTGCATGTCAATATTAAGGTTCATGTAGTCTTGGTTATATTGTGTTGATATATGTTAAAGTCCTAACTCCCGGTACTTCAGAATGTGATCTTATTTGGAATAGTGGTCATTACAGATGAGCAATAGTTAAGATGAAGTCAGACTGGAGTTATCATAATCCATTATGACTGATGATCTTATTAAAAAGGGGAAATCTGAATGGACACACACACACACACACACAAACACACAGGCAGAACACCATATGGAGGTGAAGGCAGAGCTCAGGGTGAAGCAGCAGAAGCCAAGTAACACCAAAGATTCCTGCAAACCACCGGAGCATGAAGGTAGGCATGGAACAAATTCCCTCTCATGACCCTCAGAAGGAATCAACCTCCCGGACACCATGATCTTGAACTTTTGGCCTCCAGAACGATGAGAAAATAATTTTCTATTTTTACGTGACCCAATTCGCATCTATCATTAGGGAGTCCTAGCCAACAAACACAGTCATAAAATCCCACACTACTTATGGTGAACTGCACAAGGGTATTTCTTTTTTATGATTGGTAGATGGTTATTAATTTTGGCGTGGTATTTAGGCCATTTTGTTTTGCCCAAAGGCAAAACATTATGTGTCAGTAGCGGACAATGACAAGAGTTAGACTTGGCGGAATGTCCTCAGAGTGCACAACATGTCATCTGCAGGAGAGCTCAGAGCCACAAACTCTGACTGCTTCTCAAAGCTTTTTCCACTTCCCCTTGTTCATGGGATCCAGGTCCATCCCAGACCAGAGGGAAAGAGAGAACTGTGTATGCAGTAAGGGAGACTGACCTGTCCCATCTACACATGCCAGGTATGGCTCCAGTCCCAGGGCTTTAGATACAATTCCTCAAAAGTGTCACTCCTTCAGCCTGAAGTACTTCTTCTTCTACCTGCTCAGAATACCATTTCTGCCAGGAAGTCTTCTAGGATTTTCCTTAGCCAGAACAATGCCTCATCCTTTTAGTCTCAATGTACTCTCAGTGAGTTCCATTTCTACATTTCTCATATTATACAATGTCCTTGAGAGTGGACACCACGACCATGCTTTTGTGTTCCTTTTACTTAGCAACTCCTTTCCCACAAATTTAAGACAAAATATGGCCTAATTAATTATAATTATCCATGGAATCTCTTCATGTCAACTTAGTCCAAGAGATATCAATTTAAAATGTCCATAGGAATTCATGTGAATATGAAATTTGAAAATTTCTATCAAAGTATGAAGCAATTAAATAATTACAACTTTGTGTCGGGAATTTAAATAATTTTTGAAATGACATTATCTTTTCTGGTTTTTTTTAGATATTTACTTTGCTATTTTATAGTTGTTATGTTATGACATTTTATTTCATTTTAAATAAATGATCACTCGTAATAAAGAAAAATATGAGGGGCAAAACCTTAAGTCCAAATTAATCTCTCTCAGAGGAAGTGATATAGTTCCCTGAGGAGTATATAGTTGGCTGAAGTTGTATCAAATGCTGCCTTCTCCATAATCTCCAGATTTTCTTGCAAAAACATGAACAAACTGTAGATAGTACATACCTGGGTCAAACTGGACCAGTTTAGATGGAGTCAGTGTAAAATCTTTTCCAACTGCAGCTGACACTTGGTTGACCTTAAGAGGGAAGAATGTCTTTTTTAATAAAAATGAATATTCTACAATAGAGAAACATCTAGTCTATATTAGATGAAACTAAATCTAGTCATATTATGCTAAACTCATGCTCTTAAATCTTATTTTAACATAAAGTATTTTTAAAAGTATAATAAACCATTTTAGTCTAGGCTACATAGACTAGAAAAAGTTAACTTTTTTCTAGACTAATACCAATGGAAGTAAAAGTACAGATTTTTTTTTTTTGCTTCTTCTCTATTAATCATTCAGTTATTTCATTATTTTTTCTTTATCCCAGCCTGGTTTTACAATAATTCCACAGGAAAATAAAGGAGGAGCAGTACAAGCAGGCACCCCTGATAACCCATGTCAGAGTGAGCAGGCAGTTTTGAGGTATCCTGCAGGCTTCAGGGGGATGGGTCCCTTGAGGCCACGTGAACTAAAACAAATCTGCTTCTTTCTCTGTTGGAATGAAGCCAGCCCTCTACATAGACAACATAGACAAGAACGAGCTCTGAAGAATAACAGACCTGGTGAACACAAAGGCAACCCACACCCTGGACCCCCAGAACTGAGGGCTTAGGAAGTTTCATCAAGTCACTCAGGGGAAAAAAAAAAAAGTTCTACTTGAAAAAGACTATTGACTGATCCCCTGCTCCCTACTTCCAGAGCTAAAAATCAGAGGTAATTTAAGGTCTCTGAAGTCATGACCTAAACTCCCCCATAGGAAGCTAAAGTATGTGTTAAGAATATGTGTCCTTGGCTGGTTTGAAAGAGGTCATCAAAGGAGAACCCTGTGTAAGCACAAGTGGCAGAAGTTACTCTGATATTTCTTTTAGACATTTAAGATAATCAGAAAGGTAGGTTAATGTGTTTCTTCACTTTTTTCATAAAGGAATGAAATGCACAGTTAAAAACTTGAAAGTTCCCTGTTTCTAGGGCCTTGGACATATCTCCATTTCAAATCAAAGGCACCCACATGGCAAGGCAGACCTCTCCTGCCTTGCCCGCTGCTCTCCTCAGCAGTATATTTCAGTCAGTCTTCCTGTTCTGCTCCCCACTCTGTCTCTGGTGGATCTTCTTACCCCCCACATCTCTGGTCTGTACCCCAGCTTTTGTCTGCTAATGGGTCTGTGGTAGAAACATTTTCCTGAAGAAGGTTATCAGCTCCTAATCTTCCATTTGCTCTTTGTCTACAATGCCAAGGCTCCTCCTGAACAACCTTTTATTGTGAAAAGGCAGCCCATTGTACACCTGTATCCACCATATGCTGGAGGTTACATCTCCCTGCATGGTTCTTGCACGTGCAATTACCTAGTATTTACCACCACTGAGTTTACAGAATCCTGTGTGGGGAAAGGAGTGGTCTGAGGCAGGGCAGTTGGAAAAATCAGTCAGGTGAAAGCACACGATTCAAGCCGGGACAAATAACACCAAGGGAAAGTACTTTCTTTCTCAGGCTCCCAGTTAAGTAGCCAAACAGACTAGCATAAAGCAGCAGGCTGTGTTCTGGGGAGAGTGGTCCCTGAAGGACTCAGGGCTGTGTTTGCTGAAGGCCTGCACACTCAGCTGGCAGGTTCCTGGTGTGCATTCAGCTTAAGTAGACAAAAGGTTCCATGTCATACCACGTATGTTCTTCCTGGCAAGGTGAATGGTGGCATGGCCCAAAACTCCCGACTAGAGCATATGGTGCTTTCTATGGAGGACCAGAGGATTATTAGAAAAACATCCAGGCAAATTCTTTCTTTTTCCATAAACAATCTGCTGGAAAATTATAAGGCATACCAAACTGCCTGGTGTTTTAATAACAATTCAGCATCAACAGATCTGAGAAAAAGCCTATGCTCACTTGAAAGATAAACACTGAATTGGGATATGGTAGGATTTAAATGTAGAAGGTTCTGAAGTGAGCTGAATTTATCCTTATGATTGAGCAAACTGAGACGCCACGTCCCTGAGAAGCAAAGACCAATACCCTTTTATTAGGTTGAGGAGGGGAGTCTTCAAGCGTTGTTTCCCATCGTTGGTATGAACAAGATTTTCACATACTCATTCTCCTGAAGTACTATTGTTAGAGTGATCCTATAACATCCTGCGATTCTAGAAGTCATATGTGGTGCTCCACAGTCTATGGAAAGAATAGGTATTGCCTATTGACAATGCCTCATGTTTCAGGGTGCCTGGACTGATTGATGTTCCTTTAGTTCTGTGTAACTCAGGTGACTCTTGAGCTAGGTTTGTCTCCTCTCCTGATTTACCTTATCCACTAAGATCACAGGAAGTGATCTGCTGCATATTAAGAGAAAGCTGTTTGGGAACTAAAATTTGGGTACCCCACAAAGTGATTTGCATACCACTTTTCTTTCCAAAACAGTTTGGCCCAAGTTTACTAGTTTGAATCTATCTCCCTGCAAGATGAAATGTCAAAACTTAATGGTCAGATTTTAACACTAAAAATAAGTTTAAAATCGTATCTATGAGTAATGAATATAGATGAAGGGTGGAGGGACAAGATTTTTTACTTAATATGTCTAAACTAGTGTAACACCCCTACAATTTGACATTTCCTTGGCTACTCTGAACTTTTTAAAAAAAAATCATCAAAGGTAACAACAAGTAACCTAAGTTTTAGCTTGACAATTGACAATTCAGAGTTGTTACCTTCACACTCACAAAAGCTGAGTCCATGGAATATCCTTTTCTGGTAATTTCCAAAGGCAACACCCCCACATTTTCACAAACCTCATATTCAGTCTGTGACCATTCAATATGAGACCACTTCAATTCCAAACTGTGGATGAAAGGAAAAAGAAAAAAGATAAGAAATGTATAGTAGATGCTGGGTAGGCAGCATACATCTTGGTGAGAAAGATTTTTTCATTGACTCACCCCAGTGCTAAAAACTCCTCATACATATATAGTACATTTTAGTTCATTAAGAACTTTGAACATCTCACTTGATGCTTACAACAATGCTATGAGAATTCCATTTTACAAATGCAGAGCCTAAGGTTAAAAAACTGTCAGGGATCCTAAGGTTATTAATGATAGACAAGCCTCAAACTTGAGTGTTCTGAAGGAAAGGAATCATCATTGTTAGGTTGACAACATTGTTAAGTTGACAGTGATATTCACTTTGGGGGAGGGCACTGACAGGCAAGCTACTGACGTATCTTTTGGCACTCCTCATCTGTGCATCAAGAACTGGTCTAGACACACTTCTCTGAACTTGAGTTCAGTTTAGTGACAAGTTACTTTGAGAATCTGTCTAGGAATTAAAATGTGCATGTGTTGTATACATTCTCTCTTCCTTCTTTTGTACATATTAAAGGGTTTTACTGATGTGTAGCTTGGATGCAGCTATACAACTGAATAAATCTGATAGTGGTCCTCCCTCTCCCCCCTCAACACACACACACTTAGTGAGCTTAACATTTGGGCAAATAGTCTTCTTTAATCCTTATGTGGAAAGGAACATCTTTCTCTCTCTCTTTTTTTTTTTCAGGAAAGGAAACCAAGCCTAGGGGAGGTTAAGTAACTAGTACAAAGGCATAACACCAACAAACAAAACTATGACAGAGAGCAGAGTTAAAATCCCCAGCATAAATATGATACCAAATCTCCTCTTCCTTTGCCATTCTTCTTCCCAGTGAAGTTCTTCATGGTTCTTGTCTGAGCTACAGCCAAGGAATACCTTGAAACACTTCCCTTTTGGAGGTGAGAGAACTTGAAGTGTTTCACCCAAATTTTTCTCCCCAAACAGACTTGGCCCTCTAGCCCCTGTTACCTTCAACCCCATATACACAAGCGACTTTCACTATGATCACTTAAGACACTTCCATTGCTTTTGTTTTATTCATTTCCCTTTCATTCTAAATGTAGAAAACTTCAGTGGCTCCCTGACCTACTTGTCAAGCTTCTAATCATATCCAGGCTCTTCCCTCTACTTCCCTCTAGATTTGTAGATTTTTTTTATAATTAGAAATTTTAAAAATTTCACAGGGCTCTCCAGGTTTTCCTGGGATGATTTGTATTAGAAAACAGGTTTATTCTCTATTGACCTCTTTATGCCCTTGCACCAATCATGTGTCACAGTCACATCCTATGATTAAGTTCACAAGCAAAATCAACTCAATAGTACTGTATGATTAAGTTCACAAGCAAAATCAACTCAATAGTACTGGCTTCTACTCCCAGGACCTGGGTCAGTGGGGCAGGGTAGTGAGGGAAACTGCAAAGGTTCATGAGTCTATATGAACCGAATGTTTATTCAACTAATAGAGTCAATTATTGTTACTGGCATTCTGGGATTAATGAAACTTTGATATAAAAACAGAACCCTTATTAAAAAATATTGAGACTTTCATGGGCCTTTGCTATAACTGAAGTTCAGCATAAAATATATCAGTAAATAACTATGCTTAAAGAATCAGAAGAAAACAAACAACAAAGATATTAAAATGCCAGAAGTAACATGTAGCAAATAATCCCTAAAGGATCCACTTAAATGAGAAAGAAAAAAGTATCAGCATGAGGGTTTGGGGGAGATGACAGAAAGATGAAATGGGGAAAAAGAACAGTGACAACAAGTAAAATAGGTAAATATGGATGGATTTCAGCTAAACCTTGGGAAAGTTCAAAGGAGTTTCAGTGTTCATTCTTCTGAGAATCCATTCATTACTAATGGTAAACATGACAAGCAAAAATTCATCAATGTCACTCCACAGATCCAGGTGACCTGAAGGCCTAACACTAAATGCATTTTGGTTACTGACCTAGATCCATAAGCATCTACTGACCTAGATGCTCCTCGGCTTCAAAGCACAAAGGGTTTTGATATTTGGGAAAGTGAGTGCCTTACCCTGATGCACTATTAGAGCGCTGCATAATGCTTAGAGGTCAAGGCAGTCATTACATAGCGTTCTTATTTGTTTTCTTAAAACTCATTACAAATAATAAAGATCTATTGAAAAGCCATGCAATTTAAGTCAGACTATATATCTTCCAGAAAATGATTTCAATCACAAAGAACCTACAGGAGATGTGCAACATGTGTTTGTATATGACTTTTTGGTTTTTGTAGTACTGTGTTTGAGAAGATCTTTCTATGCTAAGAATCTGATTTTTTCAACTCTACATAAACACTTGGAAGAAAAATAACAAATGCATTCAGTCATAGGAAGTCTGCAAGAAGCCACAACAGCTGTATCTGGGATTGTGTAGATAACCAGGTGCATGAGCCCAGGAGAGAAGTTTGGAGAGCTCTAAATGGGTAGGTGTCATGTACACAAGAGTTGGTTCAAATCTTCACATTTTAACAATCACTCCCTTCTCCTATAACCCTTGAGTAAAGCTCATGCTAAGGTCAGAAGAGAAGTTTATGGGAATACTTTATGTGAATCCCATGCGGCAATCATTTCAAGTCATTTAATAGGAGGTGAGAAGTCCTTAATCTCTGAGTCAGAGTTTCTCAACCTCTACACCATTGACATTTTGACCAGATAATTCTTTGTTTGGGAAGCTATTCTTTGTATTGTAAAATGTTTAGCAACACCCTACAACCCTAGCCAATACCTGCTAGTTCAATTGTATCATTCCTCTCCAGTTACGATGATTAAAACTGTTTCTGATATTTTCAAACTTTCCTTGGTGGGAAAAATCATCTCCAATTAATACATACTTTTCTAAGTGATTTTCGAGATACTAATCACAATACAGAAACTGATTTAATGGAAAACAAGATGTTGGTACCTAGCCACCATTGTGAATGGAAGATATAGGTTGGAGTAGTGGGAATTTTTCTGGATTAGACGTTATGAGCTTTCTGTTCTTTCTGTCAAGAGTCTGTGATTAAAAAGTAGTTAGCTGTTCCATGCCTCAGTTTCCTCATTCCCAAAGTCTAATAACTATGAGTCTGTAATTCAAAGTGGTTAAATGAACCTTAATAAATACTCATTAAGTACATTGAGTTTCTCAGTGAAATATTTTATAGAAGCTACAATGGTGATTAGATTTGTCTGATAACTAGATCTTTGTTTATAATCAAATAGCATGACTTAAGAAAATGAAATGTTAAAAAATTATTCTTCTAAGTATTTAATTTAGGACATCAATTCAAAGATGATGCTATTAAGTTCCATAATCTAATGTTATGAACACCTGTGTTTTCATTTTTGTCTTTCATGATAATGGGGAAACAGTTTAGCCAGGAGACAGCATAGTGAGTACCCAAAACAAGTGCTCTGGAGTCAGACACATTTTGCAACCACTTATTAGTGTGTGATTAGGGTCAGTTAATCTCTCTGAGTCTCAGTTTTCATTATCTTTAAAATGAGGAGAATTACATGCACATCAAATGATGAAAATTAAAATTAGTTAATATGTATAAAGCACCTGTACACAGTGGGTGCTTAATATGTGCTATTTCTCTTCCCTTCCTCTCTACTTTCCTAGATCTAGTCTGGATACAAATACTTTAACTTCTGGCTGGCAGGTAATATATAAGTTTTCCCCAGTCAACTATTTCAACCTCTTCCCCTATAAGGTGTTTCATAAGAGTTGCTAAAACATTGCAAAGTTCACCTGTTAAAATTTCCTTTTCTTTTTAATTTCTTTCACCCTTTCTCTTTTATGGCCAAGCATGAATAATAGGACAGCCAGAATGAGGGCAGCCAGATGGAGGAAAGGCAGAACTGGAATCATGCAGCAGCCAGAGGAGCCCCCTAAGTTAGGAAGAACTTCTCTGTGGGACAATTTCTCCTTTGAAGTTGACTTTTTTCTTCTCCAGTGGGCAGAAAAAAGAGATCAACATAGAAGACATAGTAGGAAACTGTCTTGGTAAGAAGCTGGATACATTCTGTGGTCTACAAAGGTGTTTCTGATGAACAATGTGGGTTCTGTGCAGCTTAGCTTGGGAGTTGTGATCATCTTGAGATTGAAGTTGGACCAGAGAACAGGCATGAGCTTATGAGTATGTCAAGGCATGGGCAAGGAAGGTGAGCATGCACTTAAAGTCAGGAGATTAGGGATCACTTCCAGCTCTGTCACTCATCTACTTAGAGATTTCAGGCCAATTAAGTAAGTGCTTTGAGGCTGATTTCCTTATTGCCCTTAAAGGATTGTGCTTTGCAGATCAAATCAGACACGTGAAAGCACCTAGCACAGTGCCTGAAATTTAGCCAAGTCTAAGTATTTATGCAAATTTCACTGGATTTCACAAAAAAGTGTCCCTTAAATGTATTCCAAGAAATCTTTGTTCAGTGAGGTATTGGGAGGAAGGTATTTCTATATTCAAATCAAGCTGATATACGCTGCTGTCTATATCCCTCTCTCAGAGATTCCCTGTCCATACAAGCATCTCCATGGTTCTGCAATGTGATACAATTAAACAGCAGCCAAGTTAAGTAGCCAGCAATAACTTGATTAGTTTTGCCTAAACCAGCATTCCCGAACATTTTTTCTAATAGAAAATCAATTGACCCATTCCATAAATATGCTGCAGTAGCAAAAACTTATTAGCAATCAAGATTCTGGAAAATTCTCACTGAATATAGGTCTGTCTTGCTCTTTAAAAGACCCAATTTCTAGTCCAGGTTGCACACAGTAGTCCCTTTAGTTTTATTACAGGTTTTCACCCCTTTGAATATGCAAACTATTAATCTATTAATTCTGTTTAAGTGAACCAAGAACACAAAGTTCCACAGCATTTAGCTTATTCAATAATAAGCAGGTTGATTATTTACAATGTGAGTCATCCCAGAATCAATTCATAATTAGAGATGGGGCTTAGCT